CAGTCTTTTTCTCCCAATGTTGCCATATTAATCCAACGGCTTTAAATCTGGACTAAAGGAGGGCCAGACTTTGTGCCGGGTGAACGAGCTAGTTTTACGTGCTTTTCGTTCTACATTATGAGCTGGCGCAGAATCGTGCTGGAACACCCTTTATTGAACATAATATGTGAAAAAGCGTTCACAAGCAAGCAAGCTTCAAAAATTACCTCAGTTAAGGCCAAATTTGGGATACGCAACCAAACCTTGAGTGAAGATTGAAACTGACCTAGCTGGACACACGAAATTAGGCTGCTGCTACTTCATTGATGTAGGCATCCATCTTATCAGTTTGTTTTTTGTAACTCTTCTCTAAAATTATTCTCAAGGCACTTTTTTCCCGCGTACCATTTAAATAAAACGGGGTCTTTTAAACGTGCATATGAACGATTTATTTCTGGTTTTATCCAAAATGTGCGAAGCCTTAAATTTTCATAATACCAATTTCATCCTGGTTCGAGTTACCTACACCTACCTCCTGGGCAAACAATGTCTGTTGACGCATGGGATCGCGCCTTCACAATTTTTAACGCTGCTGGAATCCTAACCGTGCGATGGCAACTACTTTTATTTTGTGTATTTTACATTCTAATCTTCATTATTTCTTTAACGGGACTATTCCCACCACTCTTTCCCACCGCTGCAACTCCTGTGTAGCCAGGATCTACAGCTTGACCGCCAATAAAAACCCAACCAGTGAAGGTCAAATTTGTCCCGGGGAAAATTAAACTGTCATTGGACCCGCAACGTTATTAATTAGAAGAACATAGGAGGAGTTCGAAGTTAAGGTTCGACTTCCCTCCATTGCAAAGCGGATGACAGGTGACAAACAAAGGCTTAGTAACCTTTATGAAAAGATATGCACCACGGACAAAAAACATCAATTAAGGGGACCTATCTTATGAGCTAGCTTATGAATAATATTTTTCACAAAATCGCTTAAAAGCACGGAAATTTATCCTTGTCGCGACAAGATCGGTGTAATAAATTGCAGAAACAGATTTATGTTGTATTGAATTAAGCATTAAATCATCAAAGAGTACCGAAAAAATCCCAGTCGGCACCACGACATTTATTAATTTTATATCTATAGTTGTTGTTGCACTTATGAACTGTGTCTTGTCGCGACGTTGGTCTAAACTCGTACACTAGTAAGCAATGATCGATCACTACAAGACGCGTCGGGGAGGACACGCCACCTATCCAGCTGGACGTCTGCGCTAGAAAGCGTGACGTCAATATGAGACTCGCCCGTTGGGCTACTGTAGGTTGGTGGTGCATTTGGGGTGTTGTGACTAAGTTCATTTCAGCTATGAAGTCTTCCACGGCTGAGCGACGCTCCATATCAATCGAGCATAGATTGCCGTGCCAAAGTGATAAGAGACGACTCCAATGATTACCCGCGTAGGGTTATCATTGAAGTCGTGATGGGTTGATTCGGATAGCCCTACTGTAGCTCTACCTCTAGGATTCGGCTTGACACTACTTTTTGGGATGCCCTGTATATACCGGCGCGTGCACTGTTATTAATCTGAATAGTTTTGCAGCGCACGCCGATACTGATATTGTTCTTGTACCGTAGTACTTATTATTATTCTGTGCTTGTACTAACACGAGGATTGTATTCAACAACTAGCTGACCCGGCGAACTCTGTTCCGCCTTAAAGGCAATAAATAAAACATCGCAATTTTTCCTTATTTGCTCACCGTTTAGACCTACCCTGGACTACGACAAACATTTTAAAACCAAAATCAACTCAATCGGCCCAGCCGTTCTCGAGTTTTAATCAGACTAACGAACAGCAATTCATTTTTATTTATATAGATAGATATAGAATATAGATATATAGATAAGTCTGTCCAACTCCAACGTAGCAATTTTATCGTTATGGAGGTTTAATTGGCCTATGGAGGCTTTAGTCATAAACAGTATTTTATCAACCGACTTCAAAAAAGGAGGAGGTTCTCAATTCGACCCGTATGTTTTTTTTTTCTATGTTTGTTACGCGATAACTCCGCCAATTATGAACCGATTTGAACAAATCTTTTTTCTGCGTATAGGTAATACCTCAAGGGTGGTCCCATTTACATTTAATAATAGAAAAAACAACCCCCAAGGGTGGAAAATTGGGGATGAACTTTTTTATACGCAATATCTCCGCCGATTATAAATCAATTTGAACGATTTTTTTTTTGAATACGTATTATCAAAAGGGTGGTTTCATGCGAATTTGAAGAAAATATTTCACCCCCAAGGGTGGAAAATTGGGCATGAACTTTTTTTATACCCAATATTTTTAATTTTTAGTTTTTTTTTGTGTTCACACATTTGAAGTCGGTTTTATTTTTTTTAAAAGTTAATTATTTAATATCAGTTGTTCTAAGTTTGCCTTATAGCTCGGACAGTCGGGCATGTGATAGAACTTATGACCAGACTAAGAACATATTATTATTTTAATTTTGGCAAGTCCGAAATCGGTAATTCGATACTCACCAATGGTATATTATCGAGTGAATTATTATTTTAATAATTATTTATTTATTATTCAAAAATACACTATTTTTATGATATAGATTAAGCATTATTTTAAATATTTATAACATGTCTGGAGTTGGAGTTCTCTAGAATTTGTATTATTATAAATCGTAACTTTAACCTTGAATGTTTTAATTTAATTTGTTTTCTTTATGTAATTCGGAGATGAAAATTAAATCAATTACGAGTACATCACATAATAAAAACATTTACATCATAATGTACTTACCCCAAATACCTTTTAATGTTTTAATTTAACTTGTTTTCTTTATGTAATTCGGAGATGAAATCAATTACATCACATAATAAAAACATTCACGTCATAATGTACTTACCCCAAATACCTTATATTATCATTTACCTTCGCAATGTGTAATTAAGCAATGCACATGCATGCAAATTAAATCAAAAATCCTTACCTTGCTTTTTACCTTTTTTTAGCCCACTGGAAACTTTATTAGCTTTCTATGTAATTAGTAATTTGTACATATTTAAAAATTCTTAAAAATATGTTACATAGTGTGAGTTTACCTCAAACGTCGTTCGTCTTAGACTAGGCGCAGACCACCGATTTTTAGCCTAAGCTTAGTTCTAGATGTATAAAAAAAAAGTTTCCGCTAGGGGGGTGCAGTACAATCCGTCATAAATTATTTAGTGTCACTTTTTTACGCTGTAGACATCGAATGCGTCGGACGTAAACTCACACTACGCGCCCACAGTTAACGGCACGTTAAGTACTATGGCATTGTAGTGGTAAATTAGTTAAGTGCTATTTTGCAAAAATTAAGTGTTATTTTTATAAAATACAGGCTGGCCCAGAAGAAAATTCACTTTTGAAAATTCAAGGAAACGAAAACTGTACATTTTTGTAGAACTTTACTTTAACTATTGCAGTTTAAAGGAAATTTAGTGCAATTTATTTTAAAATTTACTTTCTTTTATACATTTTATCGTACATGTGATTCCCTTGACGTTTACAACATTCGGTCAACATACATCAAAATTTTGGAAAACTTTCGTTAGAGTTACCTCGAAATGGATTCAGTACCTCTAGTAGGAAAAACTTTCGAGTTCGTTTCGTTGCGTATTCAAAGTGTCATCGAAAAATTTTGTATGAAAAATTAAACAGCGCCCCCTAGGGCGGCTATAATATAGGGGGCGCTGTTTAATTTTTCATACAAAATTTTTCGATGACACTTTGAATACGCAACGAAACGAACTCGAAAGTTTTTCCTACTAGAGGTACAGGATGGATGAATGCTGCAGAGTTTTTGGATTATTAGAGTATACTCTGCTCATAAGGTAACCCCACAAAAAGAAGTCTACTGGAATGAGATTAGCGCTTCTTAGAGGCAGTGAGATTTCACCCCTGCTTAATTGGTTTGTTGCATTGAAAGGATGATTATTTTTTGAGAGCGCTATACTGGTAGGATGAAAAGCTTTTTGATTTCAAATTTGCAAGATTCGCAAGGCTGTGATCGGAGCACTTGGTTTCATCAAGTAGGGGCTACGTGTCATACTTCAAAATGAGAGCATTTAGATGGTAAGAGACATGTTCCCACAAAAATTAATTTCAGGCAGGGGTGACATATCCTGGCGGCTACCAGGAAGCCCTGATCTCACTCCAGAAAAATATTTTTTGTGGTGTTACATTAAGAATAGAGTATACTTTTATAATCCAACAACCATGCAGCAACTGAAGCTGAGCATTCGGCAAAAAATTGAAAATAGGTTTCAAGGTAATTCTGACGAACGCATTTCAAGATTTTGATGTATGTTGATCGAATGTTGTAAGAGTCAAGGAAATCTCCTGGGGGATGTAATTAAATAAAGGTAAATTTAAAAATGAATTTCAATAAATTTCCTTTAAATTGCAATAGTTAAAGTTCTATAAACGTGTACAGTTTTTGTTTCCTTGCATTTTCAAAAGTGAACTTTCTTCGGGGCCACTCTGTATTATGTCAGAGGGGCCCTTATTCCGAAAAACGATCCGAAGTTTCGAATTTTGCCATCCTTCTCCCGCAAAGCGAGATGCCAGCATGAGCGACGGTGAGAGATAGACCCGAAACTACGTAAACAGCGTTTCGGAGTAGCCCTGCTGATTTGTGCCGGTGACTGTTATCATCAGCTGCTGACTTCAACACGATCACCCGCTGTTTTCTTGACCTGCTTCATCTTAATGTTATTTCAATACATTTCATGTTACAAAATGGAATAATTGTATTGTTATCAGAAAAAATAAAACAAGGGAATTTTAAAATAAATAGCGGGTAATTTTGTTAAGATAAAAATTCATATTTTATTATTTAAAAATTACGAAATAAATACATTCTAGATTCTAAAACAAACAGAGCTTTGGATTTGACCAAAATTTTACGCTACTTTTGCCATGGTTAATGACTGTATCACTAAAAAAAGTCCACTAATTTTTTCATCCAACTATGAAAAAAATAATTACATCTGTAGTTTTATTATTCACTCACTTCGGTGCACCGACGGATACATTCCTTGTCTGTTTGTGGTCCTGGGCATAGCATCCGCTGAGACAAAAAAAAGTTTTATGGTTTTGTGCACACAGGTGGTTTTTATCACCATGACAGTTTATCTTTCCTTTTAAGTTTTACACTTTTATAAAGAGAAAATGAGACAACAAAGTAATTATTCTTATCTATGGAGGGAGAGCCAAGATGGAGAGACATACTGTCAAGGTGACACATCAACCCATCATTTTGTGATAGATCAATGAACTGCAGTAATTATGCAAATAATAAAAAAACATCTCAATATCCTACTCCTAATATCTATACTAATATTATAAACTAGCTTTTGCCCGCGGCTTCACCCGCGTGAAATGTGGCTGTCACAGGTCGTCATAAATTATAACCTATATGTTATTCTGGGTTAAAAACAATAATACTGTAAAGTTTCATCAAAATCCGTTCAGTAGTTTTTTGCGTGAAAGAGTAACAAACATCCACACAAACTTTCGCATTTATAATATTAGTAAGATGCGAAAGTAACTCTGTCTGTCTGTCTGTCTTGCTTTCACGCCTAAACCACTCAAACGATTTTGATGAAATTTGGCATAGAGATAATTTGAGTCCCGAGAAAGGACATAGGATAGTTTTATCCTGGTTTTAGAAACAGGGACGCGCGCGATAAAGTTTTTCTGTGACATAAAATTCCATGCGGGTAAAGCCGCGGGCGGAAAGCTAGTAATATTATAAATGCGAAAGTTTGTATGTTACTCTTTCACGCAAATACTACTGAACGCATTATGATGACACTTTACAGTGACAAACTAAATTTCACGTGAAGCCGCGGGAAAAAGCTAGTAGTAGGTATAATAAATGTATAATAGGTCTACCAGAATCTCATGAAATAAAAAAATATTGGAAAAGTGTGACTTTCATATGGCAATTGTCTATTGCTTTATTGTCACTTGTCAAAGCAAATTAGGAGATCTGTCAGCCGCTGCAAAAAAAATGTGATCTCTTTATGACTATTAGTTCCAAAATACTGAACTGTCCTATGCATGACATTGACAGTAGTGGGGCGCCACCGTCAATACCGGATCGCTGGTTCTGATTTTTTCCATGTTGGAAACTATACAGTTGAACGATGGTAGCGCCCCCCTGTCATTGAGTTTGGTGGGACAGTTCAGCGTGGGTCATCTATATCTGTCATTTTTGTGAAAATGTCGAAAAAGCCACTTCAACATTGTTTTCAATGTGTATTATAAAATAAGAGGTAATTCAAACTCAATCTTTGATTTTAAAGCGCGTCGTTGCGTTGACAGGTAAGTTGGACTGAAACATTTTGATATACCTATTTAGTTACCCGACTGTTTCAGAAGGAGGGTTAAGTTTTTTTATTTGTTCTTGCTTAGTAATTTATCGGGGTTTTCAGGTGTATCTCACAAATTGGCGCAGAGACGTGGTGAAAATGTTGTCATGTAGGTAATGAAAATTGAAAAATATTTCATCACGCAAGATTGAATAATTGAAATGCTGGAAGAGCGATTTATAATAAATACCTTTTTATCTTGATAATCTGTTGTTCTTCAGAACATGAAATGCAAGGGGAGTTTTTAGAATCGTTTTCAAGTTCTGTACCTCTAGTAGGAAAAACTTTCGAGTTCGTTTCGTTGCGTATTCAAAGTGTCATCGAAAAATTTTGTATGAAAAATTAAACAGCGCCCCCTATATTATAGCCGCCCTAGGGTGATAAGATAGGTAAAAGTATGATACATAATAAAATTACTTACAAAAAGTAATACGATTTACTTATTTTTCAAGACATTTTTCTATGTTAAAAATCATCAGGTTTTTATTGTTGGGATGTTGTTATACACGGTACTATAACAACATTCTTCAAACACACATAGTAACACATACCTATTATGTATATTCGTACCTACCTACCTACTTCTTCATGTTCACTAATATTAAAGTAAAAATAAAAAATAAACAGAATCAAGATCGCTTAATCTAATTTCCCCAATATTGCAATTCCCCGTTTGCCTTGAGATTCTGGTAAGTACACCTATACCTACTTTTATCATTTCATTTTTTTACACAAATCAAAACAAAACTAGTTCAATTCAAAGTAATGAGGGCTATCGTTTTTTTACCTAACAGTTGGCACCCCTGGCGATTGACAGGACCTTACTCTACAGTGGCGCCATCTTGATGAGTGCAAATGCGATAGTCCTCCTACCACTTTCGCACTCACCAGCTGGCGCCACTGTCTTCGCTACTAGCAAGTGCCAGGACCTTACTCTAAAGTGGCGCCAACTGGTGAGCGCTAAAACGATAGCCCTCAATAAAAAATAGTTATCGAAGTAAACGGAATTGATCTATTAAAAAAAGATAAAAATAAAAATGTTAATGTTTTGAAAAAATTAAAATTAAAGTGCATTGTCATAAAAAATATTTTTCCAGAATAATATTATGTTAGTGACTCACTCTGAAAATTACACAGATTCCGGGAGGCGATTAGCCGCAAGTGTCTGTCATACGCTGTATAAACAATAAACGTGTTATTATTACATATTATAACCGGAATAAATCTCTTGAAATTATTTTTATACTAATTTGGAAAAAGTAGTTATTAGGTCAAAAACTTATGAATTGTTGTTTACTAGGTATAATATTATAAGTATGTATTATTAAACTTTTTGCAATTTAATAGGCAGAGAGACTCAGTGAATGCTGCAATAACAAAGGGTTTCTAAATAATGTTTTCTTGTCTACTCGTAAAGATCAGTTGCATAATATCACTTTGCCGTCTCAAAAATCTACAAAATAAATAATGAAAGTAACAATAAGAACATTTTAAATAATAAGAGACAAAAACTCTCAATAAAAAAGGTTGCCCTCAGCTGTTTCTATTGCTATTTCTACCAGTGCTATAAAACATTTTTTTTATTTATTTATTTAACTCACAAAGCCAACAGTATTTCAGCCTAAAAAGTACAATATTCCTCAACAGATTTTGAACTTTTATGACTAGGGGAAGGATCTTTCTGACACTTTCACAGATATTTTAAACATTATAATAAAAAAAAATTAAGTTTTTTTTTTATGTGATAGGAGGCAAACGAGCAGACGGACGGAGAGACGAAAGTAGGTGGTTAAGAAAATATTTGAGCCATAATTTTATTGGTCACGCTTCCAAAATATAGAAGGTAGATATATTTATGGTTAATAAATTAATTTCATTATGTATTATTATTATTTTGAGTTGTTTTAAATTCTCAGCATTTTATGCTGGTATTAATGTTATCCACGGGTATTATTATTATTATTTCTTAGGTTTTTTTTACTCGAAGTAATATTATTAAGTAATATCTAAATGCACTTACCTCCTATTATATTCACGACAGTAACATTTGTAGCGTCGCGATTTGTTGGATCTAGGAAGAAAATAACATTGTTATTATATTTGCAGTATGTGACTATTTTTTTTTTTTGCTTTTTTCTACGATACGGTTTTTTTTTCTTAGATTGTTTTATCTCGAATGAATTCAAAAGGTTCATCATCATCATTTCAGCCACAGGACGTCCACTGCTGAACATAGGCCTCCCCCAATAACTTCCACATCGCACGGTTGGTAGCGGCCTGCATCCAGCGCCTTCCCGCTACCTTTATCAGGTCATCGGTCCACCTTGTGGGTGGACGTCCCACGCTGCGTTTTCCGGTACGTGGCCTCCATTCCAGAACCTTGCTTGCTTCTGGACTGTATTTGATATCAATTAGAGACTGCATACTCACCGCTTTCAGACGAATGGGCGAAAAGGGGGTTCGGTGAATTTGGCCCCGCCACCCTCCCGGTTTCCTGTACGTAGCGCATATAACAGCCTGAAAGTGCAAAATTATTTAGACCCCAGTTCACCAACACACGTTACATGTTAACAGTTCATTAATACGTGCAAGAGGTTATACAGGGTGACTTTGAAATTAGTGCCCAAATATTTAGGAGCGAATCAGAATCACTTACTTAATCGATTTACGTAAAGAAAACATTTTTTTTTTTCAAATTCAATTATTTATATCAGCTGCGCACGGTTTCAAAATTGGCAAACGTGGATAATTTACTTGGTTCATAGAAAAATACGTACATACAGTTACCTAACTGCAAAGCTTAATAGACATAATGGTGCGCGAAAATAAACCTTATCCTTTAAAATTTGAGATAGCGAATATTTTTATTATATTACATTTTCAGTATTTTTTTCCGAAAACTGCCACGATTGAAAATAATTACGTTAAAGTTGTATTGTTAAATTATTCTATAGAGCTTATTAAAAAGAACTGAATACCGATTGTAATCACCCTGTACAATCTGCAGTTAAAAGCAAACATTGACATTAACTTGTTAGGTGAACTTGGGCCTGATCATTCGGACGATGACGGAACTTCCACCAATCTGCTCTTCGGACAAAGCTGTAGCATTAACTTATCTTAAAAAGGTTAATGTAACAAACCTTGTTGAGTGCGTGAGTGACGATGGCCATTGAGATGATAATAGCGGTGAACATAAAATTATAATGAAAATGATAAAAAAAATACAATGCTGCGCGCGCGATATTATTATGTTAGAGAGGATTTCACTGACGTGGTTTGCAATCATCTTTGTAATAAGAAAGGTCTTTATTATCATAATTATATGTAGGTACCTTTTTTATAAAATAAAATATTTATCTCTACTTTGCCACAAACATATTATTAGTGGTTCACATAATACTCTGTATTCACAGTAAAATTAGTTGAAGATATTGAAACAATTACTTAATATTCATCTCTTAACTTTAGGCTTTTCTGTATACCTAATCAATTATTTTTGTCTTACAAGATTTTGTGACTTACAAGATTTTGTGTCTTACAAGTTTTTTGATAATGCCTCTAAACAGAACGATATTAGGAAGGTTCATGTGATTTTATGATTTTAAACTCTGCTGATGTATTATCTTCGCATCGCATGATGGCAAGGCCAAATTATCAGTATTTGTTCACAGTACATCGATTGATTGGGTAGAAAGGTGATGTCATAAGCTAAAAATTTTTTTTTTTTATATCCGCATACACTCGCGAGTACACGTGCGAGTTGACGAACAAGTCTCCGACTTTCGTTATTCACTTCTTTCTTCATCTGAATGTTAGTCTTAGATTATGGCTAAAGGCCCCAAATGATTCGTGTTACACAGAGCTGCTTCGTCACCAAGTCTCTTTACTTCTCTCCTTCCACCCTTGTAGTTCAACTATTAGAGAATTATGCTAATGTCTGGCCGGCCGGCGTCAGGAGTGTAGGTCAAATGCCTCATTTGCCTCTGGTAAATTGGAGAGGATCATGTTTCTCCAGTGTACTATATGACCATTTATGATAATATTGAACTTGAATGAATATCTTTAGGCTTTACACTTTACCACGTGTCTAGATTATGCCTTTTGGTAGTTTCGTGTGCAATGTATTACGCATTGAAGTGAACTAACGGCGAAACCAAACACCAAATACTCAAAGAACTTGATAAAAATTTAATGCACATTAGCAAGACACATAGTAAGAAAGAAATCTAAATTTAAGCTTTAGACGTCACTTCCTAGCAGTCCAAAAAGTTAACGAACTCGTATCTCTTGTACTGACATGATATTGTATAAAGCTGTTTGATATAAGCGCTTGGCTATGGTCCAGTTTCCACCAAGACGGAGCGGTGCGGAGCAAAGAAGTTTTTTAAATAACTATACAGATTCCATTATTTGCACATTTCAACTCTGCTCCACTTAGATGGAAAAGGATCGAGCGGAGAAGAGCGGAGAAGTGTTGGGCGCGCTTGTTTTTCTATAGAATTTGGCAGCGCGGGGTGAGGTGCGGAGAAGAGCGGAGTGGTGCGGAGATGTGCGGAGTGGTACGGTATTTCATAGATAGCAATAAACTGACAGCTGATAGCTACGCACAGCTCAAACATCTCCTGTCGTCTCCGCACAGCTCCACTCTTCTCTGCTCTTCTCCGCTCCGCTTTGGTGGCAATAGCCTGCCAGCTTCGCTGTACATCTCCTCTCGTCTCCGCACCGCTCCGCCTCGGTGGAAACCGAGCCTAATTTCTGAACATCGAACAAATTCAGTTATGACTGACTGATAGAATTTTAAGTCAATATACGAGTACATCAAAGTAGATAAGACAACAGAAAGCATCAGCCACGATGGTTTTGTGGAAGTGTGAGAAAGTGCTAACATTGATATTTTGTGCGACCTATCTCGGACTAGATTTTGAGATTTAAGTTATTTTCTAAGCAAATAAAAGGCGTCATAAATGTTCCTTACTCTGGCATCGATGCCTATTCCGCAAATAACCAGTGGAATGGTCATGGGTATCTGTGAAATATTTTAAAATTAATACTGATAGTTCTGAAGCACTGGTAAAAATAAAGTAAAGTGTACTGTTTCTAAAAATTGGTTAGTAGGTACACAGGGCAGCCTTTTTTTTAAAAAAAAGGTTAAATAAAAAACATTTTTCCTGAAAAAAAAAAGCTTTATACTCACCATTTTCGGTTGTCATCATTTGCGCTGCAGCCGAAGCTGTTGGTGCTGTCGCCGAAGATGTTGGTGCTGTCGTGGAAGGCAGCGTCGCGAAGGATGTCTCAGACGGCGTTATGTCTAAGGGCAAACGGACCAGGAATGAACTCAGTGTGTCAATACCGTACCCAACGAAAGTGAGTAACATCCAGCATTGTAACCAATTTTATGCAACAACTACGGATCACTAACATACAATAATGGAATGCAATACTATTATACAAATAAATTAAAGAAAATTGTTTAGAAATTAATAAGAAATTACTATCAATATCATTAACATTTAAAACTGAGCAACGATAAACATAAATTTACAATTCCAGGACAGAAGAATACACTGAGTACCCACAGATAACAGCAATTTCAGTTTCAGATTCAGATCGATTGCGAACAGAGACATGCGATTTTTGGTTTTACGAAGGTAATACGATAGAGAATAATACAAAGTAATAAAAACCACCGGTTATAGTGGCATTTTTTGGAGAAATTTATCAAATAACCAAAAAACACGAATTTAAAAGCAGTTTTTTTTTTCAAATAGTATCATTTTTTATTATTTGTTGGCCTTTTTTGTGTATTTTTTGTATTTTTTTAGTATCGCCTGTTATTTAGCATTATTGTTGTTTTTATTTTATCAGGATATACCGTTTAAAAGTTATTACGTTTTCTTTACAATATGTAATTGGGAGAAAAAAAAATCTCAAACATTTTTTGACCTCTTTTTTGTTGATAAAAATAGGTCTAGTTTCATCTATTTTCATATGTACACTTTAACGTGACTCACACTGTATATTAGAATTTGATTCACCAACTTTTATTTTTTCCATACTAGAGTGACCCACCCTAATAAGCACACATTCGCCCGTGGCTACATCGTATCAGCTTTGAGTACTGTACCCGTAGTGTCAAGCAATTATTATCCCCATGTGGTAGCCATTCGGTGCATATCCGATCGCCTTGGAAGTGAAATGCGTAAGGCCTCAGCCTCGAACTTAGCGGGCAGCGGGGCGGGAGCGGCGGCGGCGCTGGAGCGGGGCGGGCAACGCAGACCCGTTCTCGAAACAAGCGGGCAGCTCGCGCGGCGCTTTAGCGGCGAAGTGTTGTGTTCGGGGTTGTGTTGTCGAGATATTTGTTTTTATTCGCAAACGAAATGTCTGAACAACGGCGACAATTTTATTTCGATTCAAATTTATTCCTAACGCTCGATTTATTGTGGGCAAAAGAAGGAGTGCGCTCCCCGCTCGATGCCCGCTCTCTCGCCGCTGCCCGCTCGTTGCCCGCTCCGGCGCCGCTGCCGCGCCGCTGTTTTCGAGAACCGGTCTATTTGATTTTACGCATAAGATCCTTCCGCTCCCGCGCCGCCGCCGCCGCCACCCCGCTGCCCGCTAAGTTCGAGGCTGAGGCCTTATAGACTAAGGCGGTTATCACATCACACTGCGCCGCGCTCCGCCGCGGTACGCGGGACGACAGATTTAATCATTCTATGCAAGTACCTTAGTTTGTATAGAAAACACGCGCGGCACTTCACACTGACAACGCGTCTGCGCGCGAGATTTTTTATATGAAATCACGCACTCCGCGGCGGAGCGCGGCGCAGTGTGATAACCGTCTAAGAACTAGTGAACGCCAGACCTACGTCATTTTATAAAAGCTGAAAGTTTGTCAGCGTATGCTCCCGATATAGGTTAGAATGCTGGTGAATCATGAAGTTTGGGTCATCGTGGCTTTGCCAGCTATCCAAAAAAAACTGCCAGGCAAGGAGTTGGAACTGTCAAAACTGTCTGGCTGATGAGAAAACAACATAAAAATCAGATTTTTTGGTATAACTTAAGAAGATATACGGTCTATTGAATATACAGAAAAATCCAACGTAATAATTAAGCTTACGTTATACCATAAAAGCTGATTTTTATATAATATTTGAGCAATAATTAGAAGTACTTTCCTCATCAGTCAGACAGTTTTGACAGTTCCGACTCCTTGCCAGACAGTTTTTTTTATAGCTGCTAAAGCCACGATGACTCAAACTTCATGATTCACCAACATTCTCCTATATTGGGAGCATACGCTGAGAAACTTTCAGCTTTTATAAAATGACGTAGGTCTGGCACTAACTCTTAGTCTATTAGGCTTTAGGCCTGCTTCTCGGAATACGCTCAGCCTCAGAGGCGCAAGACGCAACATAATATTGAAATCGGCACGGCTTGGCTAGTATTACCGTGGCTTGGCTCTTGGCTATTATTCCATACATTCTACACGTGTATAATGTATGCAAGCACCCATGAGTCGTCAATATGGGCCGTTGGTGCATCTCTTAATCGAGCAAATACTAACTTACTCGTACTTATTGAAGAAGAAATTAGTATTATTTTAACTTTTTTAAATTTAAATTATATTTTTATCTTTGAATCTTTAATTCGTTTTACATTTATTTACCTGCCAAATATTGGCAAAATATTGTAGAGGAGGGTAAGGGGAGGAGAAAACAATTTTCAAATGTAATAAATACCCGTTCCCGCTGGAATCGTTGGCATTAAATATGCCGGCATCAAAAATTGGATCGTATCTAAAACAAAAATCAAATCATTATACACTCAGCGGCACGGAACTTGGCCCAAACACAAACTTACGAACACAAGATTATGAACCCAGATTAAGGATTACAGGTGAAACTTAATAATTACTTAGCTGAAAACCAGTGAGCGGGGGCCTTTTTGGGCACAAGATTTATGTATTGTTTAATGTAATGTTGTGTATAATGTTTTATTTTTGTGTTTTCTCTTCTTTTATTTGTTCATTTTCATTTGTATTTTCGTGTCAAATAAAGGTTTTTCTATTATTTATTTATTTAATAAAAGCTTGTAAAAAGAGTTAAAACGGTAATTTCTTGTATGTGTTTTAGATAAAATCTTAAAAATTTATAGTTTATTGACCAACTTGTAAAAAATAAAGACGTTGTTTAGTTTTGCGATTAAAATACAATTAATTCAAACATGAATTTCTTGTAAAATGTAGGTAGGCGAATTTTTGTAATGACTGTGTATTATAATAAACTTGCCTTCGTCAGTCAAAGTGCGTTCTTCACGGCGATCACGGCCCCGGAACATCGACAGAAACCCATCACCACCTGTTGGACGACCAACTAACTTGACTTGCAAGAAGTACAAAGTATGCACGGATAACAGCAAATCAAAACAAAATCGGGGACAACGACAATCTTTTGCCTCTAAAAATGTACAGTCTGATGTACAGTCACTCAGCGTTTATCAACTGTAGTACAGTCGCGCATACTGCAATACTTCGGACATGTCTCAAGGCGGGATGACAACTCCATAGAACTACTGGTCGTCCAAGGAAAAGTCGGAGGAACCTGATCGCGAGACAGGTCACCAATGCGCTGGACCGACCAAGTGAAATCGGCAGTGGGAGACAGTCTGCCAATAGAGAGAGATGGCGGGAGATCGTGTGGAGAGTTGTATCCGCCTCTACAACCGATGTGAACAACGCCTCAACGTGACCACGACCGCTCTGCCAAGAGCGTAACGAATTAGAAGAAGATGTTCTATCAACTGTAGAGTCAGCGTCACACACACGTTCACAACACTTGTTACAGTTGGAATAAGGTTGTGTTGTCTACTTTTTGGCCACTTCTGGTGTCACGAACTATTTGGATGCTATTTTATCTATCTATACTAATAACTTAATTATGAAATTAATGTCTATTGCCCTGTTAGCTACTATGGCACGATTATTAAACCTACATTGGTGCACCTATGATATAATAGGGAATCTAAATAAGAGAAAGTATAAAGCAGTCAGAAAAAGGGTAAAAATGGCACAAAAAAACTCACGGCTCGACGTCGGTCCATTGTCGTTAACTGAAACAGTCAAAACATAGTTTATTATTATCTTATTAAAAAATGACAATTTTGGTAAGAATAGAAAAATCATAATTTGACAGGAAAGTCACAATTTTAGAAAAAAATCTGTATTTTTTTAAGTTTGAACTTAAAATGAATGCATGAAATATGTGCGGTAGGCGGCGCGCGGGCGCAAATGTGAGTACCTACAATATAACTACCCTCAGTCTACTAACATGAATTCGGTTTTCGCTGCCGTTAAGATAGATGTTTGAGCTCTTCATAACTCGTAACATAATCATTCTATGATACAAAAGATGATAGTAAAGAATGATTTTATTATTTACGGAATTACTAGCATGTTTCATTACTCCGTGATCATGGCGGCGCTTGCAACAGTGCCGAAATATCGGAAGCTCGTAAATAAAAAGGTACATGGTAGCAATCCCGTAAATATTATCATCATCAACAGCCCTTTACAGTCCACTGCTGGACTATGAGCCTCCTCCACTAGAGAGGAGGGTTTTGCCATAATCTCCACGCTTGGCAGGCGGGTTGGAGATCGCAGTTTAAAAGATTGATGTTTTTCAGAGAGCGCTGCTGCCCATTCTCTGTTTGATGTGTAGTCCCTAAGTCGCCTCTTACGACACCCGCGGGAAGAGTAGGGGTTGGTGACAAATGTATTCTACTCTGCCGTCACCACACGGCTTGAAATATTATCATTGTAATGTTAATGACCATGAAAGTTTCAAACAATATAATGATAGTAAAGATACATAGGTACTCGTACCTTCAAATGTTCCATAATCGACAGCTCCACGCCTGCGTCGATGTAGTGCTACGACAAAAGAAAAAAAAGGGTGAAAATAGGAAAGGATAGTGCAAGTTTCAAATATGAAACTAAAGCATTTGTGACACTGGATGCATTAACATTATGTAAAAGTCTTACATGGACAAGATAAAATATAGTGACTCAGTTTGTTTTTAACGTGATAGTTTGTCGTGTTCCTCTATGAATTCCTCTACATTATTTAAAAATAATATTAATGCTACTTACCGCTCGCCTCCGGCGACTGCAGCATTGGTACTAAAGGACAATTAAAAAAGAACACGTCAATATGTGTTTTATTCCAGCAATCTTAATAATGAGTTAGACCCGGTTTCCACTAAAGCGGAGAGGAGCGGAGAAGTGTTGGGACGTCAAATCTATATCCTACTAATATTATAAATGAGAAAGTTTGGATGTCTGGATGTTTGTTACTCTTTGACGCAAAAACTAATGAACGAACTTTTGATGAAACTTTACAGTATTATTGTTTACTAGCGGCCGCCCGCGACTTCGTACGCGTGGATCCCGTTTTACCCCCTTCCTTCGTTTAGATTTTTTCATACAAATGTTCTTTCTCGCTAACTCCCGTTCCCGTGGGAATTTTGCAATATCCTGTTCTAACTAAGCTTTAAATTTACTAAGATACCTGCATGCCAAATTTCAAGCGTCTAACTTAAGCGGTTTAGATTTTTCATACAAAAAGATTTTCCCGCTAATTCCCGTTGCGGTGGGAATTCCTAAGTATACTATAACCTGCCCAGGAGTACGAAGAATAATTGTAACAAGTTTCGTTAAAATCCTACGAGTAGTTTTTGTTTCTATTAGGAACATACAGACAGACAGACAAAAATTTTACTGATTGCATTTTTCGCATCAGTATCGATCACTAATCACCCCCTGATAGTTAATTTGAAAATATATTTCATGTACAGAATTGACCTCCCGACAGATTTATTATAAGTATAGATATAGATAACCCAGAATAACATTGTTGTTGTTTGTTTCAGCCAAATGACGTCCACTGCTGGACAATGGCCTCCCCCAAGGTTTTCCACAATGAACGGTCCTGCGCTGCCCGCATCCAGGCTCTTCCCGCGACCTTTACCAGATCGTCGGTCCACCTAGTAGGAGGCCTGCCCACGCTACGTCTTCCAGCCCGTGGTCGCCACTCGAGAACTTTCCTGCCCCAACGGCCATCGTCTCTACGAGCTATGTGCCCCGCCCACTGCCACTTGATTTTAGCAATTCTGCGATCTATGTCGGTTACTTTGGTTCTCCTGCGGATCTTCTAATTTCTGATTCGATCACGCAGGGAAACTCCCCGACACTATACCGAAGATATCCCGGACGTCAGTCTGTACGAGATTAGAATGGCTCTCACACAGCTGAAGAACAACAAGGCACCGGGTGATGATGAAATCACGGCTGAGCTTTTGAAGGCAGGCGGAACGCCGGTACTAAGGGCTCTTCAGAAGCTGTTCAATTCCGTCATCCTCGAAGGAAAAACGCCTACGACATGGCACAGAAGTGTGGTGGTACTCTTCTTCAAAAAAGGTGATAAAACCTTATTGAAGAATTATAGACCCATCTCACTTCTGAGCCATGTCTACAAGCTGTTTTCAAGAGTCATTACGAATCGTCTCGCTCGCAGGCTCGACGACTTCCAGCCTCCCGAACAAGCCGGTTTCCGAAAAGGCTTTAGTACCATAGACCACATACATACGCTAAGGCAGAAACGAAACTTATTAATTATTATTTTTTAATAATCACGAAAACAAAACAAATAGTGGGGGACAACGGAACTTTTTTGGTTTCGATGTCCACCACTGAGGGATAGGGATGTTCCGATACCACCAAAGTATCGATACCTACTCATTTCGATAATACTCAAATCTTTTTTCGATACTACTTAAATAAGTACTCCTAAAGTATCGATACTTACTGATATCGATACTTTTTGGAACTTTTATTTTGTTTTATTATTTTCAGGGTAATTTTGGTGGTGCCATGATAACATTGGAATATACCGATGAATTTGATGATTACAATTAATAAAATTACTTGTAAACAATCACTTAACACTTTCACAATGGCGGAATGGCGAGATGATTTGCGGTCGGGTGCGGGTGTCTCCTTCTCTCGCTTTCGGTTCGGGCTCGGCTGAAGTCGGACGAATTCGGCTGGCCCAGGGCGAGACAACGCGTCACTCACGCCGCCACGCGACGAATGCCGGTAACTCGGTAACCGATTAAAGCTGATTAGCTGACTGTTTTTGCTCTCTCAGTTCTGTATGATGCGTTCTCGGTTTTTTTTATTGTTTTCGGTTGTTTTGCTGATTCGATTCGATACCAAGTATTTTTGTTTCGATACCGATTATGTATCGCAAAATTGATTCGATACAATAAATACTTGGTATCGAATCAAAAGTATCGAGTACCTACTCGTATTTATTAGTATCGGAATATCCCTACTGAGGGACAGAGCAACATATTTCTTCTCAGTGTCCACCAGTAGGGCCCAACGGGAAGATTTCAGTAGCGCTGTCCCCCACTGGTGGACATTGCAACTTTTTTTCTCGATGTCCACCAGTGGTGGACAAATAGTGGGGGACATCGGGAATAAACGGATTATACAATACAGAAGACCGAGGAGTATAATCAACCACTTTGCCTGGCGTTTGTGGATTATGAGAAAGCCTTAGATTCGGTCGAGACCTGGGCAGTGCTACAGTCTCTCCAAAGGTGCCAAATTGACTATCGATATATCGAAGTGTTGAGGGATTTGTACAAAAACGCCACAAGGTCGGTCCGCCTCCAGGATCGGGACTCGAAACCTATCCAGTTGCAGCGAGGGGTAAGACAGGGAGACGTCATATTATCTCCAAAACTGTTTACCACCGTTCTGGAAGATGTCTTCAAGCTTCTGGACTGGAACGGATTTGGCATAAATATCAACGGCGAGTACATCACCCACCTTCGATTCGCGGACGATATCGTAGCCAGAATAACATATTAAGTAGACTATAATTTATGACGATATGTGACAAACTAAATTTCACGCGGGTGAAGCCGCGGGCAAAAGCTAGTTAATATTATAAATGCGAAAGTAAATCTGTCTGTCTGTGTCGCTTTCACGTCTAAACCACTGAACCGATTTTGATGAAACAAAGACTATCTCTCCTAGTACCGGGAAAGGACATAGGATAGTTTTTATTTCGGTTTTTGAAACAGGGTCGCGCGCGATAAAGTTTTTCTGTCACAAACAATAAAACACTGGACGAATCGGGCTGAAATTTGGTATGCAGGTAGAAGTTACGAGATAGGCATCCGCTAAGAAAGGATTTTACGAAACTCCACCCCTAAGGGGGTAAAACAGGTTTTTGTAGCGGAGCGGAGACCAAAAGTGGAAATAATGAAATCTGATTGGTTATTCAACACACATCTCTGCTCTGCTCCGCTTTGATGGACACCGGGTCCTAAGCAGGCCCTTACGATAATCCAGTTGTAGATTCAACAATAGGCTAGTTTCCTAAAATATTTTTTTAATCCGTCTATTTTAGCATAAAAAACTATTGCACACGTATATTTTTAATTGTCAATCAAACAAATAATTACAAAGTTATAGTGCGTTGAAGTTCCGCGCGACGTCACAAAGTGCTGCAATTTTACGCACTCACTGACATCACGGGCCTTTTCTTTAGAACTTTGGTACGCTTTATCTCTTTACATTTTCTTTAGTTTTAAGAGGTGAAAAATAGGTGTTGAGTAGTTTTTGATAAGCTAACTGACGGAATAATCAAAACTCTTGCTTTTTACCCACAAAACATCCCTATTTCGATTTAATTTAACTCTCTTTTTTACACATTAAAACTCTATTTTTAGTTATAAAAACAATCAATCTGATGTACCGTAATGATCTAGATTAGTTTGGATTATTAGATGGTTCGGAATCACCTGGCAGGTCCCAAAAACAACTAATGAGTGATTCCGTTCCGCTCTTTAGTCTTCGGCGAGAAACGCAAACAGTTTTACGATTTGAATTTAATACCAACACTTATTTTGAGTGATTGGATATAACATAAAATTGGGAGCACTAGAAATCGATTTCACAGCCGATTTGGTTTCGTGCACGTCTTCAATTTTTTTTTCTAAATCTAATTAGAAATATACCCAAAGAAAAGTAGCAGTACTTAAGCTGAGTTGCACCACCTAACTTTGATTTTTAGTGGTCTTGTTAGGTGGTGCAACTCAGCCTAAGTGTTCAATGAGGATCANATCTTTCTTATGTCTTAAAGATTAACGTAGATACTAGTTTTATTGAATTTTCTACAACAGTACTGATCCTCATTAGGTAGTCAGTTATTTAACGAGACGTGTCAAAGGTCACATTTGTGATTAACCATTCTACTGTGCTGGTTAGTTTATCTTATTTTACCGAAGGGTTATGGAGGGTTATTTTGAAAATGATGGTGCTGTTCGCCATAAAAACATCTACACTCAACATCAAATAAACCGCACCTTCCGCGACGCGAACTTTAAAGATTTTCTTCTGACACAATCATGGTGCCCCAAGAATGTTGGTGTTATCTGAAAGCCCAATAAATATCCTTCAAGAAAAACACATTTAATTTCTAAATAAATGATTATACAGTGTGAGTCACGTTAAAGTGTACATATGAAAATAGATGAAACTAGACCTATTTTTATCCACAAAAAAGAGGCCAAAAATTTTTTGAGATTTTTTTTTAATTTTTTATAGATTTTTTTTTCTTCCAATTACTTATTGTAAAGAAAACGTAATAAATTTTAAACTAAGCGGTATATCCTGATAAAATAAAAACAGTAAGAATGCTAAATAACGGGCGATACTAAAAAAATACATAAAATAAACAAAAAAGGCCCACAAATAATAAAAAATGATACTTTTTGAAAAAAAATCTGCTTTTAAATTCGTGTTTTTTTGGTTATTTGATAAATTTCTCCAAAAATTGCCCCTATAACCGGTGGTTTTTATTACTCTGTATTATTTTCTATCGTATTACCTTCGTAAAACCAAAAATCGCATGTCTCTATCCCTATCACAACGTTTGCAATGATCGTTTGAACAAAGGCCTGCCACAACATTATTTGACGACGGTTTGTGCTGTGAAAGGGTGTCTAAATACATCAGAAAAACGAAAGAAAGTGACCAGTGTTACATTTCATAAGTAAGTACTACGATTCGACGCGTATTTTGCTTGAATTTGACTTTCAAAAATTAAATACGGGAATGATACCAGTAACAAGAAAATTGATTTCCCAATTGTTCGCCGTACAAATACACTTCCTTTTTTATGAAATCGAGACTTTTAAGTCGATTTATCTTATTGTAATTAAGTAGGTACTTTGAATTCAATAAATAAGTAAGTACATGATGCGTTTTGTTTTTGTTAATTATAAAATAATTAAAAACGTATTAAAATTTTCCCTACTTTCGGGAAAATCGCCTTGACTGTCTACACTCCCCAACAAAATTGACACTAATGACATAAGATTTTTGCCTCACTCTTGACGAAGCGTTTGTATGAAGACTATCCATCTAGGTTTTATTAATCTAAGGATAGATACCGATTAATCTCAACTTAACAGTTTTACAGCCATAAAAGTTGGCTCAAGCGTAATAGCCTATTTTTTAAAGAAGTGACTCTGGATCCTTCTAAAGACACATTTTTGGGGTAAAAACCTTTCCTTTAATGAAATGAAGCTTAGAACTAAGCTTTTAAATGGTGCCAATATTTGTGGGAAGTGGGGATGCATACGTTTGAAAGTGCTTGTTGCGGGAGGTGCGATTTATTTGATGTTGAGTGTATATTACGGTCGACATCATTTTTGTAACTTTTTAAGGTTCCGTATTTATTCCGCAGTTGAATGATATTAATGTGGCAGAGTTATGGTTTCAACATGATGGTTTTTTTCAACCAGCACGCGAATTTCAATTTATTGCGGGAAACATTTGATTCGCATAATTTCACGTAATGAACGAATTTGCCTCCACAATCGTGTGATCTCAAAACCTATGGATTATTATCTCTGTGGATATAATTGACTGTGAAGTTACACTTCTGCGCAAATAAACTGCCTACTTGAATTCGTCATTCGTCGCATTATTGCCGATGTATGGCCCCAGTTGCTCGAAAAAGTGGTTGATCCAATTTTCAACCATCGCGATTAGTTACGCTCTACATTTGAGTCAACCATGGCACCCTTAGGCCCGAAATCATTTTGAAGCATAAACGCAATAAGAATATCTTACCAATACCATGTCAAAAAAATATATTTTTACATATTTTAAAAAATATATTTTTTCATTTAAAGTTATTTACCTCTAAAAACACCTTTTAGTTTAGAATTAAATAACTTTCATTAAAAGTGTCAGATAAAATAATGTCTAACTGTAACAGCACGTATTTTGTCAAGGCTCACAATTTAAATAGTGCACTAACTAGAGACCGGCTACTAAAACTATATGTTGATGAAAAAAAAATTACTTACCGTCAAAAAGTGGCTCCGGGTTGGACATCGGTGCAACTGGACAAAGCAAAAAATAGATTAGTAGTAATCTTGTAAAATTAGCCTAGGCACAGACCGTGAAGAATCTGCCAAATCGGCGTTATGTGCGCACTTTCATACATGCCCAATTGCCCATACTGATCAACTGCCCGACTAAACTATCGGCTGACGAAAAATCGATGGTCTGCGCCTAGGCTTCAAGCTTTTGAGATTTGAGGGCATGCCTCTGAAGCTACAGAAATAGTTTATTGTCATCAACATCATCAGGTCATTAATCTGGAGATAATATTAATTTGCAGTGGACTGCAGAAGGAAAACTCGCTTTTATTTATTTTTAGATAAATGGGGGTAACTAGTAGGTATCAAACAAAAACTTTCATTGACACCCCTTCAAAATATCGCCCTACTATTCCTGGGTAAGACGGTAGTAGTTCTAATAATGCTTGGGCTACGGCAGTCATTTAAACCCAATAACACGTATGTACAATAAATACTCGTACTTTGCATAGAAACACACTATAATGTAAAAAAAAACCTCACCTGATGACCTCTGATGAAACCCAGTTGTTTGTTCTACTAAGGTGCCGGTGTGGCTATAAATTACTCCCGAGACTAAAACAAAAGATACAAAATATTAGCAACAAAGGAAACGATACCCTACACTAAGGCTGAGTTGCCAATAAAGGAAACGATACCCTGCACTAAGGCTGAGTTGCCAATAAAGGAAACGATACCCTACACTAAGGCTGAGTTGCCAACAAAGGAAACGATACCCTACACTAAGGCTGAGTTGCCAACAAAGGAAACGATACCCTACACTAAGGCTGAGTTGCCAATAAAGGAAACGATACCCTACACTAAGGCTGAGTTGCCAATAAAGGAAACGATACCCTGCACTAAGGCTGAGTTGCCAACAAAGGAAACGATACCCTTTTTGTGAATTAAATTGCTAAAATATTTTTATAGTCGTGAAAGAAAAGTGGTTCACAATGTGTTAATGTATTTGTCGAAGAGAAATACCAAGGGTTCGGACAATATTTTCATTGAATAATGTTTCCGACAAAGGTTGTCAAATTGACTGACATGTTTATCGTATAGTACAGTCTACTATGAAAATTAGCTGTAGTTTGTTTCAACTACCTATTTTAGTTTTTTGTCACTTTCTCAGTTTTGAATTTTATGGAATTGGGAAAGAAGTACCGAGTTTGAAGCGTTCATGAGCAGACATTGCAGTTGAATATTCAAGTTCTGAATTTGATTATTGATGAATAATAAAATAAATCCTACTAGCTCGATTGATGGTTTCATTTAATTTATTTAAACCAGGTTACCTTTATTAATATTTTTTCGTTAATTTATGAAAATATCAAATTAGCCCGTAATCCTGAATCCTGATACATAAATTTAGCCTATTAATTTAACACAGGTACGACTGTACTCAGTGTTGCACTATCAAATGCAATTGAAGCGCCTCTATGCCAGGGTTTTTATGTTCCTGGTCAGGCTATACTTATTATTATTCAGTGCTACTAGTCACACTTCAAACGAGAGAATTTACCTAGGTGGTAAAAATAATTAAATGAATTATAAATTATATTTTAATCCATGTCTACATTGTCAACGGGCTATGAGTTAAAGTTTGTGGGTAAGTGAATAATGTCATTCATTGATCTCAAAAACTACAAGTTCTAGGAGTCTCAAATTTCACATGGGGGTAGGGTTGCCAGGTGTCCGGCTTTAGCCGGACAAAAATTCTCTTATGGGCATTTCTACGGGGACGACCGATCGACCTACTGGGGCGAAAAAAGTACCTTGACAATTGAAGTACGGACTTGAAAAAAATCACACGTATTTATAGGACTCTTGACTTGATGGAGAGCATATTTAGAAGACCGCCAGGTTTTACATCTCGCCTTGAAAAAATCCGAAAGTTCAAAAACGGGCGAAATTTGGCCTAAAATGGAGTGTCCGGTTTCCAGAATTTACTCGTTTTTGCTTCATAACTTTTGAAATAATAACTTCCCCATTATGAAACCCACATTCACAGAACAAGGGATAGTTAATAAAGCCATATAAATGAGTTTCTTTATTGCAAGTCCTTGGGTTTTAATACAGTAACACATTTAAATTTTGTCCGACGAGTGTGCCTCAATTCCGTGATTTTTACTTTTGTGCTCCTATATCACTAACAACGCACAATACGAATACCCACGCCTGATTCCCATAAACTAGCAGTTGCACTCGAGTGGTCGAGCAGTATAAAAGAGGGATCAGTCGCTTTGAGGAGCATTTTTCAGAGGTTTGAAATCACTCAGAATTTTTGGTCACTGGTCATTTCTCAAACCGGTGTGCGACATTAATAATGTTCATGAAGTATTTAATGAGATTACTGCTNAATGCCGTAACACCTGGTGCTTTGTGGTATTTCAGCTATTTGAGTGCCATTTTAATCGTGTACAAACTGACGTCCGATATAATATCTTCGGTATAGTGTCAGGTCAATCTAGCTCTTGGGTTTTGCAATATTTGTTTTATGTTTAAGGTTAAGAATAAATAAACAAAGAGACCCTGTGTTATGTATTTATTTGTTTTATTTAAATAAAATTAAAATAATATATAAAAATTAAGAATTTATTATAGTTCCTTATTAAAAAATTAAACATATTGATTACGATTTTTGTTTTATTCCATTGGTATTTCAAACACACAAACCTAAAATGAACCATCTAACTAATAGACCAGCAATCAGATATACGTTTTAAGTACCTATTTATTATATTGATTATTGAAATACATTAGGTATTTCTTCATAATGTCATCAATTCTAAGTTTGCGGAGCGATTTTTATATTTGGAGATTCATTTCTCAATTCCGTGATTCATTTTCTCAATTCGGTGCTCTCTCAATTCGATGCTTAACATTTCTCATAAACCACTTCACAATATTTAGTGACAATGCTATTTTTACATTCAGAATGGAGTAACATTATTTTTTTTGTATTGAAACTACTTAAAAAATTAAATATAAATTTTAGCACCGAATTGAGAAAAAATACACCGTACAGTAGAAATGCCCTTATGCGGCCTGTCCGGCTTTTGTTAGGCTTTTTGAGGCTGCCGCGCCCAGTCAAAAGCACATGTTGGGCTACCGATTCGAAGATGATAGTAGATGCCTATTAGCTATGATACTGATTGGCAACCCTACATGGGGGTTTCTTTAAGAACGTAGGTGCTCACTAAGACGGAATTTCAACCCCTAAGGGGGTCGCTAGTATCATATTATTATGTGTCTCTTTGTATTCATCATTTAAAAAAGGGAGATATAAGAATAATTGGGAAATTTATTTTGTTAGATAATATCAATCCGTTAATTGATCTCATATTTACAGTAATTAATGAATAGGTTTCTGCTTTCAATGCTATCAACATAATTATTACGTTGTTGGTAGGCATAATATTAAGCATACATCAATAAAACTTGTACAATAATTATGTAAAGCTGTAGGTATTTCTACTTCAAAATAAGTTTTTACAGGAAATAATCCCCACTTTGGAAAAAAATCCGTAACTAAATAAACAATATTTTAACAAAATCATAACTATGACTTCAACGATACCTTTGCTCACAATAAGAGACTTTTAAATGTGTATCATTTAGTACCAAATAAATACTTTTTCTTTCTTTCTTTCTTTCTTTCTTTCAAAAAAATAAGTTGGTATATTGAAAAATAATGTAACAGGCTTATTGACTACTTCCTAAAGGTTCAACAAAATAAAGATGAAATAAGTTTATAATTAAGAAAAATGCAGAAAAAGAGAAAGTACCTAACTACTTTTATACATAATATATACACTCGACAGCAAATAAATCGCACCACCTGCGACGCGAACTTTAAAGATTTTCTTTTGACACAATAATGGTGCCCCAACAATATTGGTGTTATTTGAAAGCCTAATAAATATCCTTAAAGAAAAACACATTTAATTTCTTAATAAATGATTAACATATACCATAAATGTGACTTGAAAAAAGACCTCACTTTGGGCTCACCTCTGGGATCAATTAGACCAAATTTTATGGTTATAAAACCAGATAATGATCACACGTGTCCTCTTTAACAGATGGATAGCGATTAATCCCAACTTAACAGTTTTATAGTCATAAAAAATGGCAATAGCGTAACTACCTATTTTTTGAAGAAGTGACTCTGGATCCTTGTAAAGACACATTTTTGGGGTAACAACCTTTCCTTTAATAAAATGAAGTTTAGAACTAGGCTTTTAAATGGTGCCAATATTGGTGGGAAGTAGGGATGCATACGTTTGAAAATGCTTGTCGCGGGTGGTGCGATTTATTTGCTGTCGAGTGTATTTAGTTGATGAATTAGAGGTTCATATTTTAAAAGAAAATCTTTTTAAAATAGTACCTTTTACTAAATTATTTTGAAAACTCACAAGGTATAACAAGCAGGCTGATTAGTTTAAGAATTAAGTTAAAAGTTTGATTAAGTTTTATAATAAGATCATTCATAATGCATAAATTAATTAAAATTAACTTTTTGACTTCATTCACTCACCCCTAATTTTTGAATTATTACTCTCTACTAAAGAACCTATTAAACAAATTGTGGATAAATATCAGCAACGGGTTATGTTAATTTAGGTACCTATTACGTGAATAGGTCAGTAAACCACTCATCACTATTCACTGTTAAAAATACTTAAAACGTCTATTGATGTGCTGTTGTCTAGACCTATACAGGGTGTTAGGTAAATGGTATACCCATTTTAACATGGGCATATAAATGGTATGGTGAAGTCAGAAATTTGATAGCTTCATTTTAATTATTTTAATTTTCATACAAATCGGATTTTATAGAATTTATTTAGTACGAAAATTAAAATAAAATCAAATTTCTGACTTCATCATACCATTTATATGCCCATGTTAACATGGGCTAGTGTCGGCTCATATACCCTCTTACCTAACATCCTGTATTTATAACAAAAATATAAGGGTAGTAAAGAACTTATTTTAAACAATAAGGAATATGCATCGATTTTAAAAGTTAATCAATTAATTATGATTGTATAAATAAACACTTTAGTCAAATCATAGAATTTCTGAAAAACTGGTCTTGAAACCGGACAGGGAACAAAAAAATTATACTTGTTTAAAGTTTGTATGAAAATTGCTGAGCGTGACATCAAATGTCACCCGCCCGCCGATCAGAAAATGCATTGATCGCCATCGCTGCACGCCGGCTGATCGCGTGTGATCGCATTGGTTTCACTGTACCTTAACTTGTATAGGACTCTGCGTTTCATTCTAACATAACATGACCAATGACGTCATGATATCTCTAACGTCTATTTTATCTCAGGAACCTATCTTTTAAAAACTTTGTTAAGAAAAAGCACTGACTGATTTGATAATGAAGGCTACTGAAAAAACCTTGCATATTCCCTATTGGATAGTTGTCATCACTATATCTATGAATGGTGAATACTATGGTGATGTCAACCACTCAATTTTAATTTAGTAAAAAAATTATAATAAAAATAAACTTTTTTAAAAACAAGCTTTTATTCTGAATTTCGAAAGTTTGTATCGCGCATGGAATTTATTCCTCTTTTTCTCTGTTTGCGCTACAAGCTTTCGAAATTCAGAATAAAAGCTTGTTTTTAAAAAAGTTTATTTTTATTATAATTTTATTTTACACTTTTTAGTTATATCTTAATCTCAGGACCCTGGACGTTATCTAACACTAAAGTGCTCGAAAAGACAAATCCAACGAACCCAAACTCGATGAGTTTCCGCCGTTTTGTTTAGGAGTTCCTATGGCCACCTCCCGACTCCATCATCAGACCAGCTCAATGGTACCATAATATTGCATTGTCATCGGGCTTACACATGTATGCAAAATTTCAGCTCAATAAGAAACCGGGAAGTGGGTCAATTTTAAGTTGCAAGATTTGACGACAGACACCAGACATGTGAAAGTAATAAAAAGCTTGTAAAAAAACTTACCCTGTTGCACGTTTGATCCACGTTCTTCAGTATTTGCTGCGTTTGTGGATAAAATTGAAATTTTGATTAGTATTTTTATCAGTAATAAAAAGCGTTAAAAAGCGGTTACAAAAAATAAAATAAGCTCTTCAAAGTTTAAGAAAATAGGACATGCCGACACCTAACTACACATTCAAACCGCTGAGCTGGACCATCAGCAAGAATACTCATTCATTTAGCTCACTAGCAGGCATGGAATGCGCGCCACGATAAAATATAATCGCATTTCACCGTTTTTACATGATTTTGTCGTCTAAAATTATTAATATAAGGGGTTTACTCGTTTTGGAATATTACGGGACTATTCCCACCTCTTGTTCCCACCGCTGCAACTCCTGCGTAGCCAGGACCTACAGCTAGACCAACAATAAAAACCCAACCAGTGAAGGTCAAGTTTGTCCCGGGAAAAAGTTAAACTGTCATTGGACCCGCAACGAAATTTATTAGAAACTTAGCAGGAGTTCGAAGTTAAGGATCGATTTCCCAGTGCAAAGCGGATGACAGGTGGCAAACAAAAGTTTCAAGCCTTAAAAAAGACATACACCACAGACATAATTCATTTACTGTGGGGTCACGTGAGCTGTTAGCTACTTGCCAATAAAATTTAAAAGTACGGAAATTTTTCGACCTATCCAGTTGGACGTCTGCGCTAGAAAGTGTCACGTCAATTGGACTCGCCTGTTGGGCTGCAATAAGTTCGTGGTGCATTGGGGGTATTGTGAATAGCTAGGTTTCAGTCTTGTATGTACATTATGTTACAGGAAATGTATGAAATCTAGGAATTGTATAAAAATCCTAGGAAATGTATACCTACAATTCCGAAGCTACGTAGGAAATGTATAAAGTATTGATTCAGAGATTATTTAATACGCACATATCCTAGGAAATGTATGAAACGAACGCTATGTGTGAAAAAAATAAATAAAACACGTTTTAAAAGAAGAATCAGAGTTCTGTTAAGGGTCTCTAAATGTGACAATTATGTAACAATTATACATATATGCATTGAGTTATAATGTACTACGTACTAATATTACTTCAATGCATACATGTAATATCTTTACTTGTTAATAATTCAAGGATCAGAGATTTTATATAGCCTCTCATTCAGACAATCAAGTAACAGTCATAATGTTTTTAAATTATAATACGTATCTCCATACTTCTTAGGAAATAAAGTTTTATGTCCACGCGTATTTATTGAAATCTTAAATAATATTACATTTCCGATTTCCGTTTAGGAAATGAATTAATTTCCTAGGAAATGTGTCAAATATAATGTACATCACACATTTCCGGATGATTTTAGGAATTATTTACAATTCCTAGGAATTGTATACAATGATGGATTTCATACATTTCCTGTAACACATATAACATCAGTTTTAGCAACTGATAGATATAGTCAGATGGGTTCATAATTGAAAATAGCAGCTCACGATAAAAAGGACAAATATGGATGTGGGAAAAATATCGAAAGCGGCACAGCGTCCTGCGACAGGGCTACAGGAAAAAAACTAAATAGAATATTAATACCGAACCTACCTACATTCAAAGATACAGCAAAAAAAAAACGAAATCGCAAACAATTTTAAAAAATCCACTTAGCATTATCGAAATTTATTCAGTTAATATTTATAGATAGTAGTACGAGATGATCCCCTTAAGCGGGAATCGCTGTAAACGCATATTTTTCAAGGTAAACCAAAAATAAAGACAATTACTACTAGTATATTTATCTATCCAACTTTCTTTATACTCAAAACCAGAAATTAATTGTTTCATTAAAATATTTAATTTTTTGCAAGTGATCATCTTGTCCACCCCTGTGGGTGAGATGATTCCCCTGGTAGGGGTAAGATGATCACGCGACCATTACGATTTGACTGAGGCGGGGAGTTGTCCAGAGCTATGTTTTTACCAGTGAAAGAAACTAAAATGGTGTTAATGGTATCAGCACAATAGCAAAGGATCATCTTACCCCAGGGGATCAACTCGTACTACTTTCCCCTACCATGTGAGGGCTACTTGACAATATAATATAACTTTCAGCGTCAAAGCTAATTTTAATAGCATAAGCATGAGTGAAATTCATGCAATAAAGTATGAAAACAATTTTAATTGGGTTGATAAAAAATGCACGATTTATCAAGTCATTTATTGACTGATGTGAGTAACATATTATGATATATTAATGACGCATATTATATCGGTCAAACTTAATACTAAAGCGTATTCAAGCTTTCTGTCTAGTGATTCTTAAAATATAGATAAATGTAAATTAGAAAGTGCATGAGAAGTATTTTTTTTTCTATTTCGGCGACTGTGGCGCCGTCGGTATCAGTTTTGTTGGGGGCAGCTGTCGTGGTAGTGATCTTGGGTGTAATGACGGCCAATCCGGCGGCTGCATGATGGATCAGAAGCCAATGGTGAATGTTAATGATGACAAGCACACAGCACAGATAAAATGACATGATTACGCCATATGGACCCTTCCAAATAAAGGCTTATTCCCACGACAATACAGGGTGTCCCAGAAAGGGTGAATCAAACTGCTAGGGGAGGTAGCTCTACTAATGTACTATCCCTAAAAAATATGAAAAAAAAATATTAGTTTGGATTTTTTTTGAAGAAAGTGCTCTAAGCTCGAAATGTAGTCATTATTTTCAAAAGTTTGTTTACAGATAAACGAAGCGATCATGTACAATTAAATTAGTAAGAAAAAAGTACAAATAAACTCCAAACGCAGCAATTATAGCCAGATACTTAGCAAAGCTGATTTATTTTCACGTTTTCAACAAAAATGTTTTTGTGTCCTTACGCGCTTTTTTTTCCATATTTTTTAGGGATAGTACATTAGTGGAGCTACCTTCCCTAGCAGTTTGATTCACCCATTCTGGGACACCCTGTATAAACACACACGTCAAGAGTACTTATTTAAAATTCAAATTACAAATTCGAACGGATCGGTTTTTTGCGGGACGTTGATATTAAAACACGTATACCTAACTACTAAACTGGATCCTGCAAAAATAATTCCTGCAAAAAACGAGATATTTCCATGGGAACAAGCGCAAAGACGTTAGTCGTTCGTCGTATTTGAAAGAGCCCTAAGAGTACATGATAGTGAATTACAGCATAATTTAAGCCTTGGATACATAAGGGACAAATGGAGCCTGTTGCGGATCATGTGATTAAAAAAGGCGTGTAAAGTTATAATATAATTATATTTAGAAGACGCAACGCCAACAAAAGTAAGCACTAACAATAGAAATCGCAGGCACGATCAAAGGCCAATGACAGGTCGCGCGATCTGCACGCGTTGGCGTGGTTGAAGCTTAACGCGATGACGACCACAGCAAACTATGCATACGAGCACATTCTTTACTCATATGATACGAGTAGAATCGACGCCGCGATGTTCGATCGTTTCAGTCACACTTTCAGTCGAAAGTCGTGCGGTGCGTTATAATAACAGCTGGTTTATTGACGTTTAATTCATTATTATGAAAGAACAATGACAGAAAAATTTAATTATTTCTTCTATTATTTTTAAAATTACAATTCAAAATTCTGGCCTGCTTTTTCAGCGTTTGATAAATCAGATAGGGTGGTTCTCCGTTCTACTGTAGTGGATAGAAACGACTAAAATGATGATAGTCATGAATCCATTCATCCACACAAGTAGGTACATTCCCTTATATCCGAGGCTATAAACCATGTTGTAAATAGATCGGAGAAAAGTCTTTTCGTCTTTTAATGTATAAAGTGAATTAGAATCGTTATGATCGTAAGTTTTTTCCTGATTTCGATATTATGTAAATTAATTTGACACTGACTTACGTATGCGAGTAAAAATAGAAAAAATCTGTACCTTACTTTCCTTTATTTTCAATTCTCTTTCCTTATTTTCGACATTAAAACATGTAGTACGAAACAGTACATGTAGTACGAAGACAGTTTGTGCTTTTAAGTTCGTAGTTCGTCTTCGTTAGCCAGTTTTTTTTACCAAAACTTTGAAATTTTAAAATAATTATCATTTAAGAGCTCGCTGAAAGGACTGAATTAACTATAGGTATCCTAAATGATTACACGGTTCAATAGATATTAGGAGAACTTTTTTGTTATTGAAGAATATGTCATTACATTTATTCCATACTGTATATGTATAGCACGAAAAAGCTTTTCTACGACCTCACAATATTTTTTTTATTCTCATATTTTCATTCGCCCGATTTCAGGCCAATGGTCTTAAGCCTTCGTGATCATGAAAATGATTTTTGTAAAATTGAAAAGCGCAAATGGAATAAAAAGAGTAGGTACATTATACCGTCTTAGGCCCGGTTTTTTGATTCGTAGTTAAATTAACCAATGGTCAAATTTGACAGATGTCAAATGACAAGTGGTTAAATATCAGAAAATAATGTTTTTCGAACAATGGTTAGCTTGACTTTTAGTACATTTTTTAACTATTAGTTAACATTTTGTTAATATTTAACCATTAGTAACAAAATTTAACTATTTGTTATTTTAACTATGAATCAAAAAACTGGGCCTTAGATAGGAGAATATGGAAAACAAGTGTGACCTGAAATTGGGTTAAGTTAACAGAAATTTTGCATGATAGAGTTAGACCATTATTCTAAAACGGCGCTCTATTGAGTCAGTGATTGTCTAGCTAGATCTAAGAAAAAAATAACTACTGTAAAATGTTAACTTCAATTGTAAATTAAAAACCTTGTACATAAATAAACGACTATAAAGTATGGAGACTACAAGTTTCCTCGTAGACATTAGCGAGAAACTACCACCACTTGCTCTAAAAAAATACATTATTGATTTAATATTCAAGAAATTGTTTTGTTTGAAACCGAACTCCGGCAATTTCAGCCGGAGATTTAAAAAAAGAAAAAAAAGCTAGATCTAGAACCCGTAGTAAAAGCTTTGCTTAGTTTGGGACTAGACGTGAATAGGCTAGTTGCCTAAAAAATTTTTTT